GTACTGTCGATTGAGAAATGTAGGTGTAAATTAAACCGTTATTTCAATACTTTTCCTTTATCAATATTTTACGCACTCTTCAGTACGAGCGGTTAAAGGTGGCTGAACACTTGTAGCTCGCTTGGGGTTGAATCCCGGAATAGTTGGATTCACGGTTTTTGTGTTACGTAAATGCAAGCCAGCTTCTCTTAGAAAGTCCTCCCGCGAAGCAGAACTCCCCTTATAACAGGTAATTGTTGTGCTTTGATGTAATTCAGTAAGCGAACAAAATTAATCCAATCATACAAGAACGGGTTGATTACTGTGGAGTTTTCCACCAAAACGTAATGCGAGCTTTTTTCTCTTAAAGGTTACACCGAAAGCATCCATCCCCTTAAATATAGCGTTCGCGTTTTTTCCATAATCCAATCCTAATTTTCATACATTTAATAGTAAGTTGACATACACCTTATTACAGACAAATAACAACCTTTTTTAAAGATATGTTTTTATCAACTTGTCTAAATCCTTTATCTCTTGAGGAGTATAAGAATTTCAGCAAATAAAACTGGCCGAAATTTTATAAAACGTAACTGATGTTTTCATTCATTTAGAAGTAACGTGAGCTTTACTGATATTTAAATACTTTTTGGCAGATCTCACCTAAAAGAGGGTCTAAAGATAAATTGATTTTATTTAATTACAATCAATGAAATCATTGAAAGCAATCACTGAATGAATGAAAATCACAAAAACTAGTATGCATACAATTGTCTCTTATTTATTTTCCTGATAAATCAGACAAATTGCCTGCATAATAGAAGCACTTTGAAAGAGTTAACAGTTCTTATGGGTTTTAATGCACTCCACACAAAAAAATGTCAAAATAAAATCTTATTATTCATAAGTATGACAAGGAAGTAAACGATAATAGCGGTTTCACCTATTTTCTAGGGCTTAAATCTAAAATTTAATCTATTCTTATTTGTTATGATTAAAAAACATTAATATGGTAAGCTAAAAGCGTGCAAAATCGCTGACGTTTAATCATAGCAAAATCAGTACTAAAAAAATTAGCATTAAAATGATGAGACGATTGAGAAGAGATGGCCTCTATTTAATTTTCAAGTAATTGGCGCAAGACGAAACTGCGGTTTTTGCCAAAATGTAGCCAAACTGATAAGAAGAGGGAAATAATGCGTACCACGGCTACTCTGAGCAGCGACAATGGACCACCCAAAGATCTACAGATAGGCGATTCTCTAAAATGGGGAGGGCACGGACGGTACGACAGTTGTACCAATGCCGGCGTCTGAGAAAAAGTTCTCCTGGTACAACTGCTGTACCAGCCGGCTTCGAGAGGTTAAAAGCAGAAATTAACAGCAAAAATGATTCGAAAGAAATGATGATATGCCATCATCAATTTAATCCAGAAAAGATCTACAAATTCTAAGAAAAAATTCTTGAACTAGATAGTGCTGATCAAAAAAGCTGTTCACAGTTATATGAAATTGAGAATACACTAAAAAGCTGTTGCAGAACAATATGAAACAGATACAGTGCAGTTGTTTGCAAGACATATATATGTGATATTCTGTGATAACAAGAACCTTCCCTGAAGAATTATGATTATGTGAACTGTCAAACAAAAAGACTTTTGGACTGAAATGCTGAAAAATTCAATAGGACCCTAAAAATTAAGAATTTCATACATTAAAAATTGATATTTATAAATTATACTTTCAGGATCAAAATTTTATGATTTTTTTTTTTTTCATTTGCTAGTGCTTTAACGCTTTCCGTTAAAAGGCTTTCTCTGTCGCTAACAAAACACCTTTCTTCTTTGAAGGGGGGATATGTAAGAAAAAGAATACGTAAAGATTAAATTAGCAACCTAAATTTCCCTTTTCTTTTTAAAATAGTAACCCATTCTCACTGCTCTTTGAGAAAATCTATGTTATTGACTCTTATGTAATTCCGGTGAGTAATTGAACTAAAATCAAGCAGCCAATATTTTACACAATTTAACTTTCCAATCAAAATACTTGAAAAACCAAAACTAACTCAGTTGAGTGATTTCATCCTGACAATATGCCTTGCTTTCCACCTTGAAATGATACAGATCCAAGCCTTAAGTTGGACTGCAGTCTTCCTGCTCTTTTCTTGCACAAATATCGAAATTAATTAAATGTGCGTTGAACAGGCAATTTACCATAACAGTTCGTTTTTCTGCCATATTATGTCCAAAAATAAGCACATTTTTTATAAACAATTTTGTATTAAAATCGATTGTATAAACTCAAATCCACAGTCAAAATTGTTACAAGTATTGCATTATTAATTTATTTTAAATTTTAATTAAGCGAAAAAATGGCATTTTTACTTAAAGTGGGTTTTTTAAGAACAACTAACTGAACTGTAAAGAACATTTTACAGGAATGGAAGCGAGAGAAAGAGTGCAATATTTTAAATACTTACATTTTATTTCAAAAATCAGCTTTTTGTATGGTAAATTTTAAAGCATGGAGATAAACAAAGTCCAACATCACAATCAGGACAAAAATATCTTGTTTCTCTTCTGATCCGTTTTCCGCTCTCGTTCCGTTTTGAGCAACACACAAAGCATTGCCTCGTCGGTCTCAATTTCTTTTCGGTGGCAGGAATCACTTCTAAAAAGTGTCTTTCCGTCAATCGTAAAGGATTGGGCAAAATTCCTGGTCGTCCTATTCTTTCATTTACTGTTCCATGCCTTTCAATCAAGCGATCAACTAAATCTAGTCTAAAATTCAAATGGGAGTATTTTCCGCCGTGCTTCTGGTACAAAACAAAAGCATTCCACAGTGATATATCAAAAAGGTGGAAGAATATTTTTTGTAGTATTTTTTTCCTCTCTTCTTTATGATGGGATAATTGGTAAGATGTTGATCTAGTCTGTCTACACCTCCCATTGTATTGTTATATTCCATTACTACTTGTGGTTTTTTTCTGACCTCATCATTGTGAGATGGCACTTCGATCATTTCGGGATTATGTATTGTAGATAAAAGACTTACAACCTTCTTATCCATCCATTTGATGATACACACTTTTCCTCTTTGGAAAGCACGGACTTCACCTTTTTTTTAGTTTTTTTGATTGCAGTTCCTTTGGAACGTCTTTCCTGTTGAGTTTGAGTGTTCCATACATATCTGTTTGTTTGCTAAGAAGGATATCTGCCAGTTCTGGAGATGTGTAATAATTATCTGTCGTTAGGCAATATCCTTTATTCAATAGTGGCTGCATAAGTGTCATCACAACTTGAGATGACTTGCACAAATATTGGTAATTATTATCGAAAAGTGTGTCTTTTCCAGTGTATATAATAAGCTGATATACATAACCAGACTTTGACTCGCATAACATAAAACTTTTTATACCGAATCGTGATCTCTTTAGTGGTATATATTGCTTCCAGTGCAGTCGTCCTTTGAAGAGCATCAAGCTCTCATCTATTGTTACATCTCTTTCAGGTGTCATGATTTCTTGATAACGTGCATTCAAGTCTTTTATTACAAACCACAGTTTTTGTAATTTCGGACACTCATGTGTTTTAGCATCAAATTTCGCATCATCGGAAAAATGTAAATATCGATGAATTAGGTGAAAACGACGGTAAGACATAATTTTTGAGAAAAATGGCGTTGAAGTTGAATGTCGCTTACTCCAATATAGTTCAATAGCAGGTTTTTTTTACAATCCCTTGTAAAATATTCAATGCAAAAAACACTTGAATTTCGTTTTTTGATGTTGGTTCCCACTTGTTTGCTCTACTATTTCTTCGAAGATTACAGTTTCGAATACTTCGATCTGCATATTTGTTGGTTTCCGAAACTATCACTTCAAGTAGGTTATCATCGAAGAAAATATCAAGAAACTGTAAAGTTCCGTCATTTACATCAATATTCAAATGGATAGCAGGATTCGCTGTGAAAGGAAATCTTGGCGGTGCTGGAGGAGGATTATTGATATCAATTTCGCAAAAGTTCCGAAACTGAGTTAGCTTATCCGAACTTTCCGTTTCTTCGTCACTAGAGAAGTCCGATAACGAACTTTCACAACTGCCTGAATCATTTAGCGAAATTTCCGATTCACTGTCTGATCCAATATCAGAATTATATTCTGTAATAAGCCGCTCACTATCACTCATTGTAACACAAAATGAGGAAAGAAAGTATTCGCAACGCGTGATACAGTAAACTAAATTTGCACTTTTTCCCGCGTAAAGCAGTAAAACCAGATGAAACCGGTTTACACTTATTTTGAAAGCCAGTCTTTACTGGACAACTAGAGCCATCTATTAGAAGCAATGGAAACTAAAAAAATGAGAAAAAGCCGGGCAAATCAGTGGATCGGCGTAAAAAAACATGCTGCCCGAGCGGAAAAGTCCCCTTTCGCTGCACCCAAGCGGCGTTTGGGCAAAACTGGTAAGTGGTTAATGTGCCGACTTGTGTGTAGCCGCAACATGCTACCAAAAATAAAACTGAAAATTTAATCTGCATTCGCCTTCAATTTTCCTAGTCATTATGGATCAACACTACGCAATCAAAATTTCCGCTCTTCAGTTACTTCGGACTTTGTTTTTATTACATATATAATTGCATCCAGAACATAAATTTTGAAAATATTTTTAGTTTAAAAACCATGTAAGTAGTTTAATTTTAGAATTAAAATATTTTTGGGACTAATTAATGAATTACTTGTTTCTCATTATTTTCCTTGAAATGTATGAAGCTGATACCATGGTTTGTAATATATAAATCAACAGGAATTAAACACACTCTCCTAATAATCTCAAATATGTTCTTATGAAGTAATTATAATATGGGCCGCGTACTGTACTATGTATGAAAATTACAGCATGAAAAAATTTAACTATAGAATGGAAAAACAACATACGTCATGAAATTCCTATTGCCAGGAAGTTCTTAATTAATGATCTGAAAAACTACACCAAAATAAGAGCTAATAAAATAAATGTTTACTTCAGCTCCAGAGTAGTTTTCAGTTGCTTTGACCAAGTACGATATATCAACATCTGATGAAAGTGGCATTTTCTTGAGTTTTGCATCAATAATTTCCTTCCTAGTGGCATCATCAGGAAGAGGAACATAAAGTTGATCAAAACGCCTCAGCAAACTCTATATAAAAATATATAACAAAATTTAATATATATTACACAAAGAATTTTTTATATACTGGAGAAAAAATACCATCATAACTAAGTACAGACACTAGTAAATTTCAATTCAATGGCAACAACTTCCCATGCAACAATTATAAATTCTTGATAAATTTCCTATGACAAGCTTTGATTTCAACTATTTATGCATGTTTGCTGAACATGTGTCAGAATGATGAAGCATACCAAAACACTTAATGCCCCAGATAATATCCAACTAACAAAGAAATTTTAGGCTTGAATGTTACTTCTACCTAAGGAAAACAATGGAAATCTATCTGAAATTTAATTTTCCAAATTCAAATTCAAATTTCTAAAATAACCTAATTCAACAACCTAAAATTCAAATTTTCCTGAACAGTCAAAGCAGATGACGTGATTTGTGTCCAATTGACCTGCATACATCTATCCATCTCACAACAAGCATAATAATTTGCAAAGTTTTGAATGCTCTTATTTTTCAGGTTGAATTTTTTTTTACTAAGTTGAAATAATAATAGTAATAATAAGCAGAAAGTTTAATCACACAGAGAAAGCACCAGTGATTAAAAATGCCAATAAAAACAAAACAAAAATATAAATTGTAAATTCAATAAATAAATAAATAGAATTAATGAAGCAGATTCATATTTGTATAATTAATCATTTACATAAAAGAACATAAATTTGTTACCTTATACATAGCAAAATGCTATAGACATTGTTGATAAATGGATACATAATCATTTTAAGTATCATTTTAAGTTAACGGAAAAGGAAAACAAAATATTACTTTATAAATATCATAAAATTAATAATTATATTTATATAATTAACAAAAAATTATTATGTAAATAACTGATATAAAATTTCATGTTTAATTATAAAATTATGTAAATTACAGTCAAAAGTCGTTAATCCGGACTCGTCGGGACTTCGGCTATTCCGGATTATCGATTTTTCCGGATTATAGATCATCAGTTTAAATCTCGTAAAATGGCATGCAGAAATTCTACAATTAAAAATATGAAACCGTAATTTATGAAATAAAGAGCAATTATGATCTAAAGGGTATCAAAATTTACAAAAAAAAAAGCTTAATATTTATTTGTTTACTTTATTAAACATTTCTTTCAATGTAAGTTGTTTCGTTTTATGTGATAATACTTTCTCTTTGATTCTATAAACTGACATAATTTCTTGTTCAGTTACAAAGTTCCACTGTTCAAGTCCCGTAATTGCAGTGCTGAGAATACCGACTAACTTGTCAATCGAAATTTTTTCGTTTTCACTAACCTCTCTGTCACCTTCTTCATATCTTTATCCATTTTTTGCAGCAATTGCTCTTTTTGTTTGATGGACATCGAAACATACTTTCGTTTTGTAGATCCTTCGGGAGCTCCAGCATCGGAAATTCTTTTTGACATAATCGAAAGTTCAAGTTTACTTTTATAAAATTGCTCTTACAGTCTGAAAAAAGTAATAAGCCAGATCCAGTTCGAAGATTTAAGGAGCAACGCAATCATCAACATTAACTGAAATAGATAATTAGATAATTTTAGCTTATACCCACCGTCCGTTATACATCAAACGCGCAAGCGAAAACGTATTCTGCACTTGCGCACACGCATATGCGCAGTCGTAAAGGTCTTACCGCGCACACGTAAACGCCTATGCGCATGTGTCAACGCGGCGCATGCGCAGAAAGTTTTTAGCTTTGAGGTCCGGATTATGATCATTCCGGATTATGGGTGTCCGGATTAACGACTTTTGACTGTAATATAGATATACAAATCATTCTACAGGAAATAGGCAGCTGTCTCAAAAAAACATTTCGTTTTAACAATTTGGTTAATTAATTGTTGTCAAAGCAAGCTGCTACTTCCAAAAGTGAAAATTTAAAATAAAGTTAAAACAGACAACAAATTAATAAGTTATCGAATTCGACAAAAATAAATATAAAAAGAATGTACCCCCTCAATTCTGAAGCAGTTGGATATCCTGAGGATGTTGATTCTCAGATATCCTGAGGACTTCTTAAGTCAACATCCTGAGGATATCCTATTCAAGTCTCAATGTCCCGGGATATATGAAGATCTCCTCAGGATGTTGATTTTCAGATATCCTGAGGACTTCGTAAATCAACATCTTAAGGATGTCCTGTTCAAGTCGTAATGTCCCGGGATATATGAAGATCTCCTGAGGATGTTGTTTCTCAGATATCTTCAGTACTTACTTTTTATGGAAGCTCATATCTGAAAATATTAAAGTAAAGTAACCTTGTACCACACGCAAGTCATGTTATAAGAATCGAAATCTTACTCTATGGATTACCTATTCTGCATATGAAAATTTAATTGTTATGCTTACACTGGTTTTTGTCTTGTATATGTTGGCTGTAAGTATTAAGTAATAATATTTTCAAATTTTTGTTGTTGTTTTCACAGTGCCTATTGATCAGAGTACTTTCTTACAATTATAGGCACGTGTTTTCATCCGTTTTGAGTTTCATATTGAAAGTGTGTTTACGATTAAATTCTAATTGCTACATAATATATTTTGTAAACATTATTTTAGATACTTTTCTAATATCTTTGAACACAAATATTATTTACGTTACAGGTTAACTCAGAAAATCTTTCACGAAGACATTTATCCTATGAACAGATGGGCATGATGTACATCCATGCCTTATCTGGCATTCGAACTTGAGCCCTTCTGTACGGCAATCAGTCACTAATCACTTACCCGTCTCTGAGGCACTAATCAGAAATATCAAGTTATAAAAGTATTCTATTAAATTCATCGATAGTTCTTAGCATAGAAATAACTATACTTTGAAACTGCAAAAGAAAAAAAATACTTTTTGATCTGTTACACTATTATATTAGTAATGAATGATGTTTAGTGCTGTGCAGTAATAAGTAACAATATTTTTTTTTTTTTTAACAAACGAAATTTTAGTTTACAGACGCAGTTAAAAACTAGTCTGTACGAGGTTTAACTTGCTTTAATTTGAATTTATAAACAAGAATAATTTTATGGGCTAAAAATTCATTGCATTTTATTTGCCACCAACGAGTAATTCACCTGCTACCATCCTGTCCATATCCAGTAGGAAGTCGCTATGCGTCCCTTGATGTCATCATCTATCCCAGCGAACCTACCACAAAACTCATATTAGTTCAACTAAAAATGAATTTGTACACAAGATGCAGAATGTTACCATGCAACACCATGATATAAAATGAATATGTAATGATTTAATATTTTTTCGGAAAATATGTTTTGTATTCAAAATAACGCTAAAAATATGCACACAATTAGAATAATTTTCATTAATGGAATGTCTCATTTTTTACAAAAACAAATACTTACTAAATGTAGTATTTCATCTCGATGTACTCCGTCTTTGATATGATTTAAATCAAATTTCCTCATCATTATAAATATCACGAATACACATCAAATAGTTTTCTGGTTGCAATTTCTAATTTTGACTATGCGTAATGTATGCTTTACGCATGCACGCGTTGAAAGAAATATTTAATAAAGTCAACAAATAAATATTAAGCTTTTTTTTTATATAAATTTTGATACTCTTTAGATCATAATTGCTCTTTATTTCATAAATTACGGTTTCATATTTTTAATTTTATAATATCTGCATGCCACCTTACCAGGTTTAAACTGATTATCTATAATCCGGAAAAACCGATAACCCAGAATCGCCGAAGTTCCGATGAGTCCGGATTAAAGACTTTTGACTATATAATCCACAAAATTCACTAATCCTCATAATATTTAGTTCCAAAGTGTGTGGATTTTGAACCAGTATAAACATTTAAATCATTTAAATTTATATTACAGTTTTCGCACAGAATTGTTATCAAAAGGATTAATATAGTTCAGTTATTAAATTTATTTTCCCAAAATAAGTTATATAGTCATTAGGTTGTTTTAAGCAGGAGACATAAAAAATGTGCAATGTTCGCACTGGGACTTGTATCCAGGACTACTTGAATTCATTTTGAGTATGCTTCCAGTTACACCACAAATTCATGTTGAAGGGAGGAAAATACCTTATATATTACCTATTTTAAATGATGAATATGGATCAGGGGAACCAATTGCCAAATCCTGCTGGTAATGAATTATCGTAGAACCACCTTTTAGTTTGGGTGCCACTGTGGAATCATTAGGTTATTTTAAGCAAGAGACATGAAAAATATGCAATGCCCTCACTGAGACTTGAACCTAGGACCTCTTGAATATGTGTCAAGTATGCTTCTGATTACACCATGATGGCATATGGAAAGAAGGGAGAAAATATCTCATGAAGTAAATAAAAATTATTTTATTTTTAATGTGATAAACTAAAAAATTATGATACAAATGGAAAAGGACATAAAATATTTAATCAAAAACGAAATGAAAAACATTTTGCTAATAACAAATCATTTTACTATAGAAACTTACAGGATCAATAATATCTGGCCTGTTAGTAGCAGCAATTATGCTAACGCCTTGAAGTACATCAATGCCATCAATTTCAATCAGCAACTGAATTAATACTCTGTCAGCCACATTGGAACTGCCTGAAGTACTACAAAAATATGCAAATATATTAAAATAATTTAATTTATTTTATTGGTTATAACAAAATTACGGAATTTACCATACACAATATTTAATGCATTACTAAAAATGCAGATAAAAGTTAATAAACACTATAGAATTAAGTCAGAAATATTAATAAAAATAAGAAGAGTAGAAACGAAAAGGAATTCGTGTTTACCTGCCTCTAACAGATGAAATTGAATCAATTTCATCAAAAAATATAACACAAGGTGCAGCAGATCGAGCTTTCTTAAATAATTCTGAGACACACTTTTCAGATTCTCCAACATATTTGTTGAAAATCTGTGGACCCTACAGTTAAAAAGATTAAAAAATAATAAACAAATACATAAGAAAACTAAAAAGAAAATTAACTTCTTTTACTAAATCATCACAAATAAGTGGCATGTCTTTCTACAAAAATAGAATTTCTTCCAATTAATTAAATACAGTATTAAGAGTGAGAATAAATATATTTTAGAATATAACTGCCCCAAAATTTTAGGACACTATTTAGGGAATTTGAAATAATGTATTTTATCAAGAGTTTTCACAAGTCTACTACAAAATTCATAATTTAAATTCTGGTTGTCTTATATTTAAGCTGTTTAACAATAATTTTATTGTATTTATTTTAAAGATAATGAACTATATACTGTATAATTTGAGACATAAGATTAAACATAAAATTCTTCTATCCTCCTTTTATTTTTTTTTTTTTTTAAGTTATTTTCTTAAGATGTACAATTTATGTTAAAAATTTTTACTCAAAGCTGTACATTTTTCAATGAAACTTGATCCTTTTTGAATATACTACATACATAGGATATTTTTATAAGCTTTTAGGTTGTAATATCTTTGCACTGTTGTGTGACCAACATAACACCCAGTAAAAAATCTCCCACATAAAATATCCACACTTGAAAATGCATGTGCTTATTTATTTATTTATTTATTTATTTTTTCTGTAAGTTTGACTAACAATGTTTATTGGACGACCAAAATGGCGAGATTTTTTAAAAAACTTCATTACAGACATATAAAAAAATACATATTTGGTGGTAGTCACTGGAATCAAAAAGTGAAACCAGTATTTACTTAAAAGGGATACAGGATGCGTGAGTATCAGGTTTTTATGAATTTAATGCCATTTTATATAAAAATGTTTCCCCTTATTATTGAATTCAACTAATAGTACAATAGTATTCTAAATTTGAGCTTTTGGATTAAAGGCATCAAAATAATTAGCCTGTTTAGGATGTTCTTTTAAAATGAAAGCTCTTTTATTAGAATGGCAAATTCATTATGTTAATATTAGAATATTTCTATTTAAAAATTTGAGATCTTGTATTAGAATGACAAATATATCACAATGACATTAGAACATTTCTATTTTAAAATTTGAGCTCTTGTATTAGGATGGCAAATTTATTATGCTACTATTAGAATATTTCTATTATGAAACTTGAGCTTTTATATTAGAGTGGCAGACTTATTATGCAATATTAGAAGTCCTTCCATTTGAAATTTGAGCTCTTGTATAAGAATCCCAAATCACAAAAATATTTTGTTGTGTGAATAAATTTGAGATCTTGTATTAGAGTGGCATATTTATTATGTAATATTAGAAGATTTCCGTTTGAAATTTGAGATCTTGTATTAGAGTCCCAAATCAAGGATTTTGTTGTGTGAATCAAATTAAAGGCTTGAATTTCTTTTATTTGCTTTAGTAATTTTTTTATTAAGAGCAGATTTTTATTGAATAGAATGCAATACTTTTTTTATTGTATTGAATGTTTTTTTTTAAAAGAATACTTTGTGTCATATTTGAATTTTTTTAATTTAAAAAAAAAAAATAACTAGATTGAGCAAGTGGATTTGAATTGCTGAATATTGGCTAAAAGCCTTTTAAAATTAATTTTGATATGCTATCCAAAAGTTTTCTGTTCCAAAAAATGTCATTTCTTGCCAAGGGTAGGAAACAAGATTTAATAGAGGCAGCCAAAGAATTAGGTGAGGAAGTGCCGCTCACTAGTTAGGTCCCGAAAATTAAAAAAATAATCACTGAAAGTCAATTTTCCAATGAAGATGAAGTTAAATAAATTCTAATTCAAGTAACTGCTGATCAAGAAGAACACACGGTTTGGGAAGAAAGAGCATATGAATTAGAAATAAAATAGCATTAATTGAAAAATCAAGAAATACGAGCTAGAAAATAAACAACAAATATAGTAGAATTGGGCAATAAAATCCAGTTGTCACAAATTACTACAAGGTTTGATGGAAAAAAAGGATGAAATGGATTTATGTTCGATAAATTTTTAGAGTAAAGCTGAAATGGCCTAAGAAAGATTGGGTGGCTTATTTTTTGGATATTTTACATGCCGAAATCTCCTATATGTTAGCCAGAGAACCATCTAAAGATGCAATTAAGTATGAATACCAGAAAAATACAATCTTAAAAAGATATAAACTTAATAATGAAAAGATGAGACAGTGCTTTTATCGACATCAAAAGATTCCTGAAAAGTCTTGGAGAAATTATGCTCATGAACTTTACAGATATTTTGAGTGGATTGCAGATTTAGAAATTAAGATATTTAAGAATCTGAAAGATTTATTAGTTACCATGCAAATTAAATATAGGGTTCTGATGGAAGTAAAGGATCATTTTCTAGACCAGTGAATGAAATTAAAACTCTACATGAGCTAGTAGAAAAATTAGACCAGTATCAGAGTATTAAACAAAGCTTTAAGAAGGAAAATTCTAGAAAAAAAGGTTTAAAACTTCAAGGAAGTCATCAAAATGGAAACAGCATATAAGGTAGTTATCATAATAGATATAATCCAGAAGAAATTTCGAAAGCTTTTAAAACTAAACCTATATAATTAAGACAATGTCCTAATAAAATTCCTGAAAGGGAATTTGAGAAACAGATACAGTCTCATTGCTATGAATGCGGATCCTATTCGCATCTTCTACCTCAGTGTGATAAACTCAAGAAGAATTTGAAACTGTAGCAACATATGAAACTGTACCCTCAAATTAATTTTCCAAAAAAAATAGTTTTAAGGATATTATGGCTTCATATACCAGACTAGGCAAAGTGAATGGCTGTAAAATGACCAATACTGGTGCAATTTTAGTATTAGGAGATTCATTAGATCAAGCAAGGTATTTTTAGGTAACAAAACAGCTGCATTGTTTAAAGAAGCAAAATGCAATGAAGAAGTTCAGATTCATATGATAAACGCCATACAAGCTCGTGCTCAACAGCGATGTCTAAAAGAAATGGAAAATCTAGTCTCAACAGACGAGTTAAATTCTGAAATTGAACTTGGCAACAAAGGCACATTGACTGAAAATAAAAAGTTTGCCTCCTGTGAAATATGAACGATCTGAATTAGACCTAATAAAGGCCTCTAAAGAAATATTAATACAAGAACAGAAGGAGAGTATTGAATTGAAGCCAATTTATAATTAAGCTAAAATTAAATCTTGCAAAGGTACAAGGTATATGTTAAAAGGTCAAATGCTCTTTTTCAAAAAGGAAGATCATGATGGAACACAAAAACTATTGACAGTTGTTCCTAGGATATGTCGGAAACAGTTGACGACTATTTGTCACGAAGAAACAGCAGCCCACCTTGGTGCAATAAAGGCAAAAGAAGCATGAGTCAAAACTTTTTATTGGTCAAATTGTTGCAAAAATGTCCAGAATTTTGTTAAAACTTTTGACAAATGTCAAAGAATTGGAAAGCCGCAAGATAAAAAGAAAGCTCGTTTGAAAATTGTCTCTGTTATCACGGAAATATTTTCAAAAATAAATGTTGATACTCGTATGCCTTTGCCCATGACACATTCAGGACTTAATATCTTATAACTGCAATCTGCATATCTTCAAAATATCTAGATGCAGTTCCTGTCACAAATCTTTGTTCAACCACAATTGTTGAGGTTTTCCTTCAAATTTTTACTTGAATGGAATTTTCAAAAGAGATGCAGACCAACCAAGTCACATCTTTTATGAGTGCGCCAACATCGAATTTCCTAGAAAAATTTAGAATTAAAGTTGTTTGAAGTTTGGCAGGGCAATCCTGCAGAGAATGCATAGAACTTTAAAAGGAATTCTTTTATTCCTATGTCTAGAATCTGGTCTAGACTGGGATAAAATATTCCTATGTCTAGACTGGGATAAAATTTTATCCCAGTCTTTACTTGCTCTTTGAAAAACTATTCACAACAGTGCATGTTTATAAGTTTCTCACCAGCAGAATTATTTCACAGCAGAAACTTAAGAACACCAATTATGCTATTTTATCAAAATTAATATGGTAAAGAAAAGGAAGAAAATAGTGTAGCAGACTATATGTGTGAACTAATGAATTGAAAGAGGAGATGTCAAGAACTTGCTGTCCAGCATACAAAAGAAGTCAAAGAAAGGCAAAAACTCTGTTATGATCACAAGACCTAGACTGTAAATTTCAAGAAGGAGACTTAGTTCTAGTTGTGGTTCCTTCGAAGCCAAACAAATTATCATTTAAGAGGTAAGTCCTGGAAAAATAATTCAACAACTATCACAGACTAATTATGTAGTTAAGTTCCCTGAGAAAAATAAAACTCAGGTGTACCACATTAATATGTTGAAACTGTACTTTCAATGAGAAGAAAATATAAACTTGCTGTGTTTAGAAGACAGGATGAACAACTATGAAGATGAAATATTGATTCTATATTATAGCTCAGATACTGTAGTGTCTGAAATTTGCAAGGCATCCAGTTAAATTCACTATCATCTGAAGACCAATGAAAAGATTTAAAGCAGTTGATATACAAGTATTCCTGTATTATCTCTAATGAACCAGGATGTACTGACCTTACTGAACACTATATAGAACTAGAAGCAGAAAGACCGATATGTGTACAAGCTTACCGGATGTCTACCAAACCGAGATTTAAAAAACTGAAGTAGGAAAGATGATAAAACTCAAAGTAATAGAACCATGTGATTCAGATTTTACCTCTTCACTCATACTGGTTAAAGTTCCTGGAAAAGAGGCAAGACCATGCATTGATTACAGTCGCTTGAACAAGGCAACTAAGACACAATATTTTCCCTTGTCAAATATTGAACATTTAGTGGAAAAGTGTCATCTTCCAGATATATAACTGTTCTAGATCTTACTTCAGGTTACTGCAGATCCCACTAATAAAAAGAGCCCAGCGTTACACTGCTTTTGTGACACGTTTTGGAACATTTAAATGCTTAAGGTTACCTTTCGAGCTAAAAAATACACCACACGAGTTTAGCCGTTTGATAGCAGGATTATTAAGAAACTGTGAAGAATTTCCTGTACCCTATATTGAGGATGCCCCAGTATTCTAGCAAACCTGGAAAGATCATTTGAAGCACCTAGAAATTATTTTGGAGAAGATGAAAAATTGCTAAACTGCATATTAAGCATTTGAAATATCAATTTACTCATACGACCAGGAAATATCTAGGTAATGTAGTAGGATAAGATCAAAGAAGATGAGGACAAATAAAACTCCAAGCCATAAAGGACTTCCCTACACCTACCAACAAAAACACAGGTTCAGTCATTTTTAGGACTTTCGGGATATTATCGAAGGTGCATTTCTGAATTTTCTGTGATTTCTGGACCACTGGCAGATTTGCTGAAAGGAAAATGTTGTAAACTATTAACTGGACTGATGAGTGCCAAAACAATTCTGATGAACTTAAGAAATGGTTAACAGAAAATCCAGTCTTGTACAGTCCGAACTTTTCTCAGCCATTTATCGTTCAGTGAGAAGCTTCAAATATTGGTATTGTATTATCACAAATAAATGGTAGAGGTGAAGAACATCCAATAATATTTCTTAGCAAAAGGTTTTCACCTATGGAACAGCAGTACAGTACAATCCAAAGGGAGTGTGTTGCCATTGTCTTTGCACTATAAAAGTTAAAATTCTGCCTAGATAGACCTCAAGTTCATCATTCAGACTGATAATCTTTTAGTTTGATTGGATAAAAACACTGTGAATAATCTTAGACTATTATGATGGGCTTTGATCTTACAAGGTGTGCATAGAAAGGGTAAACACCATCAAAATGTTGACACTTTAAGTAATTTTATCCAGACATCTCACAACTAAAAACACATATTCAAGAAAGTTAACAATTTCATTGTTTAATTTTTTTTTAATATCAGAATATTAAATTTTGTATGTTTATTTAAAATGCTTATTTGAAAAGCACTTGTGTTCATTTGGTCTGATATTTAATTGTACTGGCTACAGGTTTGCTTGGGCACGTTTATTTTGTAAACAATTTTAATGTACTTAAACTGAAAATATTGTCTTAAAAGTTTCATAGGAAAAACTTTTTTTTCAAAAAGTTGCCCATGAGGGAAGGAGTTCAAAACTGTAACATCTTCGTGTTGCTATGTTACCAACATAATACCCAGTAAGAAATGTAAAGAAACCTCGTGCATAAAATACCTGCGCTTGAACATGCATGCGCTTAAAATGTTTTTAAGGGTTTTTTTTTTTTTCTTTATGTCTGAGTAATAAAGTTGGGTGTTCAATCAAAATGGTAAGATTTTTTTAAAAACTTCATTACAAGGTTTACTCGAAGGCTTGAATGACTGACTAAAGAATTACAAATATGGAAAACTTTATATATGATTGAAAATTTAAGATTTTAAAGCTTACTTCTTTTCAAAAATACAATGAAAAAAAATATCACGTCAGAATGTTATTCCAAAACTATACTTCTAAATATTTGACACTTAAAATTTTAGGATTCATTACTTTTATAGCATCATAATGTATGACATTCAATTCAGTTATGCTTGTTGAATACAGTTAATTTGAATATACAGTAGTCATTACATAAATTGTTGCAAAAAACATTGTTTCAGCAATTCTGGTTTCATGCTTGAATCTTTAATTACTCTTCGCCTTCCCTTCCCTTTCTCCTATTTTTCCTATTGCATGTAATATTATTTAGCCTAAAAATCTTATTTTGAGAAACTTTTAAGCAGCACTTCAATATCATTCCAACATTTAAAATTGCAGTTCATCATTCTGAAGTTTTTAAGCTGATCTAAGTTGAAAAGCAACTTTTACCTCTTCTCCTCATTTGCAACAAGAAGAATGTGTTGTTGCAATTCATTTATTTGTTTTTTTTATTTTTATTTATGTGTGTGTGTTTGCTTTTGTTTGTTTGTTACTGCGGGAAAAAAATTTTTTTCCCACTACTTCCGTACCAATAGAATATTCTGCATGTGATAAGATGCCCATTTCATCACACAGTATAATTCTTCATTTCTGAGATTTATCAACAAAAATTATTAATACCATGGTATATAATGCTAGCATTATTTATATCAGCATAATCATTATAATGCATATCTAATAACTATTCTTCACCTACTCTGCCAATAATGAAAAACATTTTACATATATGTGATATGTGTATTAGATATATGTGGTAAGATAACTCAGATGTAAATCTTTTAAAATTTACATTAAATAGTTAATGGAACTAAGGATCACAAATCCTTTCAAAGTGACATACTAATAGAAAATTTCTCAATTAAATATTTAGAAATGACAATACAATGATAAATAATAAATATAAATAAAGACTTCTGATTAAAGATTAGTTACAATAATCATAGCACTACACATGGCAACAGTGCAATACCTCAGCATAGTGGAGGTTTTTTAATTCCAAGCAATTCATTTTTTATTACTCTTTGAATTTATGTCATTACTGTAATTACTTACTTGTCATTAATGACTGTAATTACTTGTTGGCATTACTTACACATGTTGTTGAAAGCAGAGTTGTAAGCTTACCTAGAATTTGTTTTGAAATTTCGTTTTGCCCCTCTAATGTTAGAGCTTGAATTTCTATACATCTTCCCAATATAAAATGTGTTTTCTCATATTGGTCAAGATGTTTAAGTGATCAAATGAACAAACCAGGTTTATTGAAGACAAAAGATGAGTCTAGAAATAAAGTTACTACTTTATGAAGGTGATAATATTAAAAACATTTGTAAAAATGTCTACTTAATCTCCCTCTTTAGTACTCCTCATTAGCAGATATAGCAGCATAATCCAAGAAAGCATATTTTAGAATGCTTCTCTTTGGGATTTTCTTACATCATTACAGAATCAGAACCTACATGTTTATGTGGTACTGGCAATGAAGTTCACCCCCAGAATTAAGATTAAGATTAAGAAGGAATTTCATAACAGCACATTTCATAAAGAGGTTGTTGTATCCAGGAAATGGCCAAATGGTTTGAAAATAGTATTCTAAAAAAAAAGGAAAGATACATCATTTCATGAAACCGAAAGCAATAAATTCTACATTATTTACATGATTATGCGAAAGATTAAGTACAAAAGTTTTGCTGTCCACATCCATGTTAGATGACTGTCTGCCTCCAAAACAATGCTTTGTTCTCTTACATGCATTGACTGAGGTTCAATTTTAGTTTTCCTTCATGATCACAGCTGTCATATTATTCATAGATTTTATGAAGGATGAATGAAGGCTAGACAGGCTAGATTTCTTGCCCATCTAAATATTACATATAAGGTTGAGAGATTTGAAGTAACATGGCAAGATTCCAGGGCAATGTCAAATCTTTCATGATTCATTATTATATGGAAAGTTTTTCAAAAATCTTGACTTAATAGAGAAAATGTGAATAGATGTTTCTTTCCTTTCTGAGAAAATTTACTACGAATGATATAAAAGAACACTAGATTTATTAAAGAATTTGAAGAAGATGTTTTTTACAATTAAGTAACTGAGTTGTAAATATGAGAGTTGTTTTCTGCAGCAGAAGACTCCAGTCTGAACAGACTTCATTTTAACAAAAGAAAAATAGAAATTCATTTATTGTCTCATGATTAAACCTTTGAAATTCCAGTTTTGAGAAAATACTGACAGATTTCTGAATGAAAAAACACAATGTATTTCCTCAATCTGTTTTTCAAAGAGAAAAAATATTTTAAATATATATATATATATATATATCCATTGAGGTTCTAAATAAAAGAAGCAGTCTTAAAATAATCATTTGACATATTTATATTATAAAACTTCTGCTTTATTCCATTTGCATTTGAAAGAAAATCATGGAGAAACATCTCAAACATTCAACTAATATACAAATAATAATAGTTTGTTCATGTTTAAAATCTGAACTCATTCATATCTTTTAAAGAAACAAAATTCTTACCTTAATTGGAATGAAATTAAGGTGTCCCTCTGATGCTAATGCTTTTGCAATCATAGTTTTGGAACAGCCAGGTGGACCATACATCAGTATACCTCTGCATGGAACAATTTTGAATTGCTTAAACTGTTCTGCAAAGCGGAGAGGCCAGTCTATCATTTCAGTAACAGCATTTTTAACATCATGCATACCACCAATGTCAGTCCACTTGACCTGGAAATTTAACAATACCTTAATTTAAATCATTTTCAAAATATCAAACAATGAAGAAGCTATTCCAATGTTGGTGAACCTTTTTGGAGGTGCCTACCCAAAACATTTTTTTTGGGGGGGAAAGCATGCCCAAAACCTCTTTGATTAATTCCTCATTGGAGAGCGATTTACCATGTTTTGCCGGGCACAGTTAAATCTGAAAGCTGGCCATTGTTAGATGCTTTGTTTCAGAAAGATAATTTCAAAAATAAACTTTCTAGTAATTATAATTCCTCAGTTTCCCTTCAATAAATACCTTCCTTTGAGCTTCATCAAATTTGGCAGCAATCTTGTGGTTTGTGTTAAAGTGCCGTCTGACACTAGATGTGCGACACACAACACTTTCTCCGCACAGAATGCATGATTGTTTCCTACTGTGTTCAATAACTCCAAATGATTCTATCCAAGGCTCTTAAATGATCTTCCACTATGAATGTTTAATTTTGTCTTTTTTCTTGGAGTTATTTGTGAGGGTTCAAGACCTGGAGTATAGAAAATCTATTTAACAATGAAAGTATTAAAATTCAATGGCAGTCTGTAATAAATTTGAATTCATTTAACAAACATTAGCTGCTTCAACTTTCGCGTACTCTTTGCCATGTAACAAGTTATATGATTGGTCCAAGCAATTGAAACATCATAAATTGTGTCAAATAAATACATACATCATTTCTCGGCGATATATGAAAATTTTATATCTAGGCTTAGGCCTTATGCCAGTTGCATTATGCGTAGTATCATCTTATTGTGATTATTGATTAAGGGAGTAATATTTTAGTCACATGCCAGCTGATGAGGCTCTGCATACCAACTGTGGCATGTGTGCCATAGGTTTGCCATCACTGAGCTACACTATTCAGGAGGTTGTACGATTAATAATTTTATTACCAATGATAACCATGAAAATGGTATCATGAAATATATTTTAATAGCTTTTACTAATATACAGAAAGCATTAAACTGCTCTTATTTTTAAGAAAATTAAGCATCAGTAATTTGTTACTCTTTGTGTGCCACATCATTCCTGATTTTAGTCAGGTAAAATTTGTGTATATTCTCATAATACCATCACAAGATATATGTATGACTTCTGCATACTTCTGCATTCTCATAATACCATCACAAGATATATGTATGACATGCATAGACTACTCTTTATGCATATGAAAGTTATAGATATTACAGTTTTTTTAATATGACCATAAGATATAATTTGCTATAGACAAGCTGCAGGACCAAACAATTTGCAGTTTCCATGTGTTGATTTAATCACTGGATATTTTAGCCAATGCAGAATTCATACACATTTTTGCACATGAAAATTAAGCACTTTTAAGGACCATTAATGAATAAAATTAAGGACCTATCAGCTAATGAACCTGAATAATTCAGTTATAGATATTATCTATGCCTGAACTTCACTTTTGTAATACCACCCGAAGAATAAAACAGTTCCATAATTAGGATGCATTATATTAAACATAATTTAATAAATTTATCACAAAAATGTTTGACAATAATGTCAATTTTGTAAAAGTTATCAAATAACATTAAATGTTTTACACTTATAATAGTTGAACATATTTTAAAGAAGATTAGTGACATTTTATTTACATTTTACAAACCATCAGCTTTATGTTGATTTTTTTTCTTTTATGTTTAATTTTATCATGCACTTATTCAGCAGGCAGATTTTATGCCAAATGGCATAGGTTAAATTAGAAGTAAAATCATAATCAGCATGATCTGTAACAGAAGATAGGCTGTTGCCATTACTGCTGCATGCCTAGAGAGAGACCTGCTGATCAGAAGACCTGAATGCCTGATGCTGGCATGGTTGATAAGTTTTGAAAGTTACTTATGCTTTACCTCTCTGGCAAAGTTACTGTCTTAGCTTCGTATAGAGATCCTAGAGTTGTAACCCAATTAATATACTTTAAGGTTCCAATAAGCCACTGAAGCATCAGAGGTGATAAGTTGTTTCCTATTATTCTTTGAAGTCTCGCTAGCTGTAAGGAATATGTTTTACATTACTTTTTACATTTTTGTACTGTATCTTGTGACCACAGTAAGAATTAATGAAAGGCACTAACTTAACATGCAAAGATAACTTTTAAGGGTGAGCAATTACAAATAATTAAGGTAGGTAGTTAGATACTCTTAGTCATTATAGATTTATATGATCACCATTAAACTTTATTTACTTTCTTAAAAAATATTTGTTAAAAAGCACTATTAAAATCACAAACTAATAACATTTTACAGTTTAAAACACACATGATTTATGACATTGATTCTTAAACTATATTAGGATAATTATACATTAAAAGCTGCAAAACATAAATGCTTTGTAGACAAAACACACTACAAAATATTCATAAGTATTTTTTAACTAATTCATATCAATTTGCTTCCCTTTAAGCATCCTTTATAACAATAATAAATTTGTTCTAATTACGCAAACCAATGTTCCCACTAATTTTTGTTTTATATTCTAGCTTGTCAATGTCTCAACAATAAACCTATGAGGGTTTTTACTTGATCTGGTAAAAGTTATAGTCCAAAACCCCTGACATACATGAAGTAAGTTATTGCCATGTTTGAAATTAACTACAAAGTAGGATAAAGGTTTAAATAAACCTCTTTATTTAAACAGAACTTGGAACATAATTGCACTTGACATGAAGCAAATTATTGCCATGTCTGAAATTAGAAAATTTAGATAAAATGAGTATAATAATATCCAAAGTATGATAAAATAATATGCAAAGTATAATAAAGGTTTAAATAAACATCTTTATTTTATGTGATTGCTGAGAATAAATCATATTTATTTAAACAGAACAGAAAATATAAATGCACGTTCTTATGCTAACAAAATCAACCACAGCTCGTAGTGAAGTAACTTAACAGGAAAAGGCAAATTCAAATTTAAAATGTGAACTAGACGTCACAGACTACTCATTTTATAAGCTGGCTCAGTAACTCTATCATAGTAATAAACTCAAATGTCGGCAACGATAAGGCAAAGCTAAATAATTAGGAATTACAGGAACTAATGCAGCATAAAGCAGAGGCCAGAAATACACTCTGTCTTACAATACAAAAACCTCAGTTTAAATACTATCCAATCAATTTTGCATTCTGGTCAGGAAACAGAAAGAAGACGTTATGATAAAGGCTGAAATTATGAAGAACTAGTTAATTTACATAATAATAACTGTAACATGTCTTTGAAGAATTTTCTTTCTCTTTATGTATTCAGTTTCCTTCCTCAATAAATTTCCTCTTCATTTTAGAATTTTTGGATTGAATAAAATATTTCTGTTATTCTATAAAGTATACATATTAATAACGTATAGAAGAAGCTGCTAATTTTATTTCTTTAGCAATATGAACATTGAGAATAAATATGAAATGATGATCAGGGTTGGTTACCAAGACGGTGAGGCAGAATGTTTAGAATTTAGTGATGCACACAAGCAACAAAATCTAGAAATGGCAAACTTTTAAAATTTAGGACAGGCACTAGAAGCAGAACTTAGGAAGGCACTAGGCAGCAGAATTTAAGACCCACAAAGATCATATCAAGTGGGAAAATGCCTAGTGCTAGCCTTGTGTATGATGCATTGAGACACATAAGATGAATCTTGTAAATTGTCAGTTTTCAATTTCTTTATTAACCCTTTGATGCACGAAATATTATTTTTATAATTTTTTTTTTACTAAAAACTCTAGAAATTGAATATTATGATCCTAGAGACAAATAATATATGAATTAAAAAAAATCTACTTTTGCCCATTGTTCTGTGGGTGGTGGTCGCACTGTAAACCTCCGTGCTCTAGGACTTTGAAACTTACTACTGAGGTAATAGGGAAAAAAAACTTACCTTTCTCAGTGCGCGTTTCAAATAAATGGCAAAATTTACGAATTTTAAAAAAATGTAGGTAAGAATTGTATTATATATAATTTTTTTATATTATTTTACAAAGTAAATCATCAGAAAAAATTAAAAAATAAACATTTATGTAATTTTTCTATAGCAGTGAAAATATAAATACCTGCATAATAATGACGTTTGGCTAAATGGATAAAAAAACTCAGGAAAATGAGAATAAGAAAAAGACTAAGTGTTTTTTTTTTTAACTTCAAAAAACAAAATTTTTTGTGACGCTGTTCAAAGCATGTTTTGTCTTTTTGGTGCATGCATAGACCCAATCGCACATTTCGCACATGTTTTTTCTATGACGTTCTTCCTTGTGCTACAAAATGCACACTGCCTGGATCTAAATTTCACTTGTATATGTCCAGCGTTATTTAGTTTCTTTGATCTAGCACATGAAATTTGTAGTTTTTTATGTTAATGGGAGGGGCTTTGGTATGGATTGTTCGTTTCCCATTCCTACTTATTTTATTTATTTCATCCAAAATATTTTTAATTTTAATAAAACTTTATGCGATTTTTATTTTAAATTATAGCAAAGTATATTTACATTAAACTTAAGCCACAGGAAATCATTTATAAAATCACAATACTAGCTTGAGGAGCAAGTGTGTTGAGGTCAGAGAAAAGTCTCTGGAAAAGAAAGACCTTTTTACTGGGCAGGTGCATGTATTGTTTAGTAATAAAATAACTCTGTGATTTAAAAACCCCTTATCTATATCAGGGTTAAAATAAACATTCGTATTTGAGAAGCAAGCAAATGCCATTGTGAAGAGCAGTGGTTTCAAGGTGCGACCACCGAGCCTCTAGAGCATTGTGAGCATTAGACACAATGCTCTAATGGCACAGTGCTTGCGCCCTGAAACCACAAAGCAAATGCCATACATATAGAGGGGTTTTTTTTTATACATGCAGTTTAATTATTGCTATTTTTTATTGTTTATGATAGAAATCATGATGTACGATGAATAACTTTTGAAATTTAAAGTTGTTTATATTAATAAAAGGAAGTTATTT